AAAAAAAAAAAAAAACCTAGCCAGTAATTTACAGTAGGTTGATCTACCATTTATCTTTGTTGATTTTGTTCTTGGCTTCATTTATATTTCTATTACTAGTACTTTTCAATATTCTTGCTTTTTATTATTTTTAAACTGAATTAAATAATGTAATCAAAGAACTTTCAGACTACATTTATTACTGGAAAATTTTGAAGACATTTTGATAGCTCTCTCCATAAGAAAAATGTAATTTTATTATTATTGCCCAAGAATATTATTATTGTTCAAGAAATGTGTAATTTTCTACTATTTAGATTTCCTATGTACTATCTCTGCATATTGTTTATCTGTTTTTTATTGATGATTTTGATTAGAAAAGATAATAAGTAGTTAGTATTAAAAATACTTATCATGTTCCTCAAAACCATAATTGCATTTCTAATACAAACTGTATCTAAAGACATTCTTTACTTAATCTGAGTTAGAAAAAAATAGCATAGTTGGAATTACTGAAGAATTTTCTATTCCAAAACAACTTTTCTTGAACAAAGTACACAAGAGGTAAGATACACATTTTTAAGCTTTAAGAACTATAAAATCAGGAGTAAAATGTATTATTTTACTTAAATTTATAATTTGCAGACCAAGAAAATGTGTTTTGTGGATTCTCTAACAGATGATCTAACTTCATCAACCCCTGGTATATCTTAAAATGAAGTAAATTGTTGTTTTGTTAGAATTTCAAACATTTTTTTTAAGGTAAGTTTAATTTAGACAGGAACTCTGAACAAATGAATTTAAAATTCTAACTGGATACACACATATCTTAAGCAGCTTATGTCACAGTTTATTATTTGCCATTATACTTATTATTATTCAATCATTAGTTTAATATTTTTTGTGATAGACATAAAAGTAAATTTACCACTGAGAATCATTTTCACGTCATATATTTGCTTAAATTTCAGGTGTTCCAGAGAAGCCTCAAATTAGTGGGTTTTCATCACCAGTCATGGAGGGAGACTTGATGCAGCTTACTTGTAAAACATCTGGCAGTAAACCTGCAGCTGACATAAGATGGTTCAAAAATGATAAGGAGATTAAAGGTAAAAAAAAAATCAAAATACATTAAAACCGTTAGGAAATCTTAAATACAAGCATTTGATATTTTCTTTTTTAATTCACTGCGCCTTGCTTATATGTAATATCAACCTAATTTATCCTCCTTTTACTTTCTCAAAATTGATTAATTTAATCTCTTGTATCCTATTTTCCCCAGTTAACATGGATCTAAAAAGAATGCATACTTCATGGGATAGACTAGAAATTAATTGATGTATAAAAAACACAGATTTATACCTGACAATAGAGTTACTACATATTAGATTTCACTTCAAAATTTATCTACTAACCTGTAGTATACATTAAAGATATTTTAGGCTACAGAAAGTAAAACTCTCAACTATTTCCTCAACTGGCTGCTTTCTGGAATTATAATGTTCTAAGATAAAACTGGCAAAACATCAGTAAATTAAATTCCTAATGTTCTCAACAAGGGGCAAAACACTTATCAGTAAAAATGTGTTAAAAATCAAATTTATGTCTCATTCTGCTTTTATTTCATACACTGAAATGCAACACATATACCTGCACACTAACACATTCTTTCAGGGAGAAATTCTCATTTCTATTTTAATTGCTCTCTTGCTATATATCTTCCTGAAAATGGAAACTTATCTGTAATTTTTTCTCATCACTAGCTCTTTTTTTTTCATAATTTCATGTAAATATATTTTATTGGAGAACTATAAGCCCACATGACACAATTCATTCATTTTGCTATTTTACATGAAACTTTCAGGTTACTATGTAACCTGGGCTTATGTCCTGCCAGGATTTAGTGACCGCCATTCTAATTCAGCCTTTAGGTTATATATTTTGGGAACCATGTTAGGATCATGTTAGATTTTCCTAAATGGGTGCTCTATACTGTTTCCAGATTTATTTTTATTATGACGAGGATCTTTTGTAATCCATATTTACTGCTTAAGTATGCCTGATGGACAGCTCTAACCTAAAGGATGAGTTTAAAGTATACCCTCTCGGCCCACCCTGGTGGCGCAGCGGGTTAAAGCACTGCATTAGGAAGTTTAAGCCACTTCCTCATGAGTTCGATCCTCGCCTGCCCCGGAGGTGACCACATGGCGTGGCAGACCTCTCCTGACCCGCCCGCTGCTCCCCTAAGCAGTGTACTTCGTCCATCTGCCTGTTCTGCTCCCCACTCTGTCTCTGGTGAATCCTCAAACCCTCTGCATCTCTAGCCTGTACCCCAGTTTCTGTATGAATAAATAAATAAATCTTTAAAAAATAATAATAATAATAATAATAATAAACTATACCCTCTTGTGGCCTGTAAAGATGCACCATGCAGTGAATTTCTCATACATCACATATGCTCTTCTGAGTGAATGTTCTTCTTAAGTATCCCTCTTCAACTGAATGTGTTACTGCAAGATTCCCTTCCTTAATTCTGTTGTAATTACTTAGTTAGCTGGTTAATCAGTTCCTCTCAATTTCTTAGCATTTTACCTGCATTTCAAGTGCTTGTTTCTCCTATATCAACAGGGAAGTCAGAGACTAACAAATTAAGCTTTTGATTAATATTGACTGACTGTTTTTTAATATTGTAATGTTATGACACACCCATAATATACTAATATTTTATAAAATGTCTTATCTTTTTAAAAAAAATGTAGCACTGGCTTTGAATGTAAAATAAACTTAGCTATATATTAAGTAAGTGGAATATTCAGTTATATGCAAAAACATGAAAATGCTGATATTATAAGACACAGTTCATAATTATCTGAACCAAGAACAAAACAAAAATCAAGGTAAAAATCATAGACAGAATCAGCATGCATGTGATTTCCTGCTCTGTTCACAAGCAGTAAAATAATCCTGTTTTTCCTGTGCTCGCCAACACATGACTATCAACAGAACATTTATCATCATTATAGTTACATTTATCTACGTAGCTGTTTTTTTGCTTATAACTGTTCTTTTGCATGTTTGTATAGTATGTATTTACAAACATGACGAATAACCTCCTGAATAGTGTAAGTGTAAGTTTTACTCATAGCCCACTTGTTACTTCTGCTGTCCTCTGAATATGTTAAGCTAAAGTTCACTCTAAAACCATCAGAAACATTCTCAGTGAAGAGGATATCTGATCCTTGCACTACTCTCTCTTTTCAAGGATCAAAATATGACTTCCAGTTAGCCATTTAACTATCTTTACTGTAGCATTACTTCATCCTCTTAAATGTTTTTGTTATTGTATTTATTATTTTTAATTGAGGTAAAATTAGTTTGCACACTATAAGTAATTTAGATATACTCCATCTCCTCAGATAAAAAGGACAGCAATTTAAAAGAATGCCAATCAAATCTAACTCAATAATAAATTATTGTTATTAAAATGACTCCCAGTTACTCAACAGTCTATGGGGCTTGAATGAAGATCCAAGTGGAGAAAATAAAAAACTTGACCAGAGATGGTTAAAAGGTGTTCAGAGAAAAGACTCAGGAAAGATAGCATCAGAGGAAGTTCCCTCCTACCCAGCAAAGGGAATGACTGTGACAAGTTCAGATGGGCACAGGACCCAGAGGATCCCATCCTGTAGGGTAAACTGAGTGCCTTTTGGTTACCAGGGTGCAGTGCAAATTACACACAACAAAGGTTACAGTGAAGAGATACACCTCTGGGGAAACAAAATTGTGAAAGGGAGAGAAACTTCTATTAGGGCAGAAACAACACATGAGAAGGGCAAAACTGCTTGTTGTGAATCTAATCAAGGATGATATGGACAAGTACTGAGGCAAGGCAGGTACACAGGGCCCAGGTGAGGAAGAGAAAAGCTCAGAAAGATGTAGCTTCTCCCACCTGTCTACCTTAGGGAGGGTCAGTATGGGTACTGAGGAGAAACAATGAAGCCTCATTAAATATGCCAGGTACCACTAAAATCTTAACACATAATCTACAGAAAGGTGACTTGAAGTCCAGAAAGGGGAGCTAGCAGGACTAACACAGGCACAAATTGCGACCATATTCAACAACTTTACTAGCAATGGATCCCTTACACAGACCTGTCCTAACAAAAAAGACCCAGATAAAGAATAAAGAATTGTTCTCCCTGACATACAGCACCATCTACTGGAAAGTGCCATATAGATAGATAGATAGATAGATAGATAGATAGATAGATAGATAGATAGATAGATAGATAGATAGATAGATAGATATAGATATAGATATAATAT